AAAAGGTAAAAAAGGTGAGTTTTACTGTTTTAGTCAGTTATCTTTTATGGACTCAGCGATGATGGACATCACAGGAAAATTTAGTGACAAGCTATATACGTGATGAGTCAAATGAACCGTACAAAAAAAGACTTAACAAGCACACTTAAACGCTAATAAACAAGTTCTGTATGGCTAACCTTTCTTGTTGGTCAGCTTTTGCTGAAAGCAGCAGTAGGCATCGCTGGAGGCAGCGTCAAGCGAACGGTGGTGGATGGACACGTATCTTTAACAATGAAATTGTTTCATATCCAAGTCCATAGACTTTACTAATGTCGACATGGCATCAGATTCTATACCGCAATCAGTAAGTGTGGTCGTGTGGAGATATGGGGCGAAGGGATCATCGTCTTTTTGGTGGGAACCACGTTCCAGATTTAATTTCCTAAGTTCCCAAGACTGCGATGCGATGCCAGAACATACTAAGCGCCAGTCCAATCATAGTGCGACTGAAATTTTGCTTCCAAATGCGCACCCTTATTTTCGAACATTAAATTTTTGGATCGGCTAAATTTAATTGATCTTATTGGAAAGAGGTTTTGCGTAACCATTTCAGTAAGAAACAAGAGTTTAGTATTAGTGGACGAAAGTAAGGCACGGCTACTCGTTTATGGTTACTACAGTACTCGATGTATTTATTTTCAGTAGTGCTAGCCCCGGATGGACGCTCGTGTCCGGACGGCCGCGTCTACACGTACCTCGTTCCGACACACGCAGCTCTGTCGCTCCATGCCCATCCCACTCAAGTCGAGCTCGATCTGCCAAAACGAGATAAAGGGCAGGGAAGAGAGAGTAGGGAGAGGAGGGGAGCGCGAGACGTGCCGCGCGAGGAAGGCGGGCCGCTCTCCGCCAGCCACCGACATCATTGCAGACGTGCAATACTCGATCTACTTTTGAAACATTCAGATGAAAATATGTAACATACGTTTGAAAACAGATGAAACACTTGAAACATGCGTGTATGGTCATTGCAACATGTGCAACACCAGATCAATTTTTGAAACATCCAGATAAAACAAACGTCTAAAACACATGAAACATAGGCTTGCAACATGCGTATATTGTCATTGCAATATATGCAACATCCTAGATCGATTATTGCAACATTCAGATGAAATACTTGAAACATAAGTCTGAAACGCTAGAAACACTTGAAAACATATGCAACATCCAGATATACTTTTGCAACATCCAGATGAAACACTTAACAAAAGTGTGAAACGTCTAAAACACTTGAAACACAGCGTCACTAGCGCCCATGGTCTACTTGGTGGGGAACTACGGTAGCCTGCAAGTTCGGGTCAGGGGGACGTCAACAGCCCAGCGTACACCTAGGCGCAAACCTCTCCTTCCTGCCGACGGCATGAGGTGGATGGGGGCACAGGTGCATGCCTCCCCCAGACATAGGAGCAGGCTTCCCTGCCTCCCCTTCCGCGATGGGTGAGGTGGATGGGGTCATGGCGCGGAGCAGCGCGGGATGGAGGCAAATACGGCGCCGCCGCGCTGGAGAGGCCGCGGCAAGTGGCCTCGCATTGCTTGCAGCGAGGAGCCTTGCATGTTGGAGAAGGGAGCAACATTGTCTTTTTTTTAAGAAGCGGACTGACAAGCGGCGCTGGATAAGGCAGAGTGCGGGTGTGCGGCGTCGAGATGGACAGACGCCCGCGTCACATCATTACTGATTTATTTTCACAAGGCGTATTAGATTTAGGAAACTATTTAGAAGATTTCTTTGACCACCAAATAATTTTATAATATGGTCCCGTTCGCTTCGCTGAAAAACAAGCCAAAACACCGTTTCGGCTGATTTGTTGTGAGAGAAAAACACAGTTCCGGACTTCCGGTTGAAAAAAGAAGTCGAAAAGTACGGATTATAAGAGAAGCAAACATGCCCTCATCAATTGTTATAGAAAATCAATTTACATTAAAAGATACGTGAAATGTCCTAGGCATGCATATGATTTGAGTAATTCGTGGTCAATATTTTCAAAGTTTGACTTTCTTTTAGTTTTACTACGCCACCTTATACTTTGAAGAGTACGATCCACAAAGAATGTAATTCTCGCTTCCCGAGAAGTCAATCCGTTTAAACTTAGACCAAAATTATATAAAAAATACAAAATCCCTGATACAAAATTAGTATCATTAGATTAGTCATAAAATATATTTTAATAATAAATTTATTTAGAGACATAAATATTAATAATATTTGCTATAAACTTGTTTAAACTTGAGCTGCTTTGACCGGCACAGATCCCATAATTGCATTTTTTTATAGACGGAGGGAGTACCATGGTATCCTAATTTGGCTTGGGTGCTATTCAGGTCTCTCAACTTCTAAAATACTTGTCCAAGTCCATAAACTTACTAATCGTGCCACATGGGATCTAAATCGCCCTTTCATTAAAAAAAGATCTAAATCGCCCTAATTTAGGCTAATCCTCTACTTTATGTGGCACGGTGATCGACCTTTACAATGACACGGCCTCATCTACTATCTCCCAACTGGCATGTGGGTCCTATGTCTCGGTGCTGTGCGACCATGCGATCGGCGTGCCACGCAAACGGGTTAATACAAGTTATGATGATTTGAATCCCACGGGACATAGTTGGTAATTTTAGGTGCCTGAATGTATATTTTGAAAATTCAGAACCTAGACTTCGAAACAGGGGACATTTTGTTTGTTTCAGGGAAAAGCTAAAGGCTGCTCGATTGTTTTGGAGCCATGCAGCACCCGGGTTTTGATTGCACCCTCTTGCTTTTTATCATCACACAAAGGAGCGATCGCAATCGCCCAGGGGTTCCGCGGTCCACCTGCCTCCACGGCTGCTCCTGGATGGCGTTTCCCGTCGCAACTTGCTCCTGGATTGCGTTTCCCGTCGCAATCGCCCAGCGCAGCACCCGCGTCCACTCGCTGCTGCCGACAGTGCCGTCGGATTCCACGCGGCGCACGTCGCCGGATCGCTAGCACCGTGGATAATGCCCACTTGTCGCCCGCCGACCTCACCTCACGCTCACGCTGTCTTCCCTATCACACGCATTACTGAACACACCATGTGTCCTCTTGCACTCTCCAATCTCGATCGTATGCACCTCAGCACTTGCCTCATATTGACTTTGCCCGTTAATCTTGCAAGAGGCCTATCTATCTAGGGAAAACTTTGAAGTACCGGGGTGGCACCAAGGGGCAAGGGATGAAACTTGCAAGAGTTGATTGCAAATCAGTAGCACTGGGCGCAATAAAATAAAAAAAATCAAAGGAAATTGAGGATAAGCAGTGGAGATCTAAGCAGAAGATAACAACTATGAAGAAGGTTTAGAAGCCAAAACAAGTTGTTTCCACCTCTATTTAAGTTTGGTCAAGGATTACGTCTGATAATATAATTATCGTCCTGAAAAAAATATGGCCGATCAATTGTTGATGATCCTCGTCCTTAGATAAGATTTCTTTTTGTCATGCAAGTTTTCAAAAAAAAGGAGGCATGTGTTCACGGTCACACACACTGGACAGTCCAGTACTGTGTTACGCCTGTGTGCTCCGGACTGTCCGGTGTGTCTATCCAAGTCGGGTTCACGAAGGGCTCAAATTCTATATGTTTATTTTGGGTTGATTTCCGTGATGTATGTGGACTTTACCCTGGGATAGACCTTCCACCCTATAAACATAAATGACCATGGCCAATTAAGGGATCCAATCAATTAATCAATACAACTTTATCTTTTATGTTTTTACCTTTTACTCTCTCTTTTCCTTAATCTCCTCCAAACCCTAGATTGCTGTTCTTTCTTTATATCTACGACGTTTGAAGGCGTCCTGCCAGTGCTAGACAGTCCGAAGTGCGCTTGCCCTGACAGGGTCTCTCCCGAGGTAATGTTCATTGGCCTTCACGACAGAACAAAGAGCACCAGAAGACGATCCTCCATGTGCGTTTCATCGATCTACAACCCATGCGTTTGAGTGTCGCGAGGTGAACTGTCCAGTGCGTGGAATTTAGCCAGCGCTAGAGTACTGTCCTTTGCATGTAACTGCGCCAAGGGTATTCAACACCGGCGATGGAATGTCCAGTGTGTGTAATTACACCACCGCTGGACTGTTCGGTGTGTAGATTTTCATCGTGGCCTCGACAATCCACTACCCACGCATTCTAGCATTATGACGTGTGGCTGTCTTTTTTTGCCAACAATAGTCAATGCTAAAAGAATCAATTTCAACTTAGAGGCAATTTGAACGCAAATCTATGAGAGAGAATAAGCTGAAACAAGCTGAAAAGTGATCAGCCGAACAAGCTCGTTAGCTTTATGCTTTAAACTTGCACAAAATTTTGACTAATTGTTGATTAAAATTTATAATATTTGTCTTTTCCTCTATCAAATATGATTATCATTTCTAGACGTAGTGAGGGTCTGTTTAGTGCAGCTCCTCTACACACGCTCTGTGGCCGGAGAGAGTCCTCGGAGTGAAGCCAGTTTTTGTGGCTTCACATCTGTACGCTAAAACGGTTCGGCTCCATATTTTACCAGCTAGAAGCCCTCCTCCATGCGAGGGCAATTGGTGTGGCTCCGCCTACTTCGCATGCGGAGCAGCCAAACACGCCTGAGTATATGAGGGGGAAAAATGAATGTGCGTCGCAAAAGAAAAAAAGAAAAAGAAAAAAAATGAATGCAGCTGGCATTTCTGTGGAGCAATAAGGTTGGTACAGAAGTTGGTAAGCAAAGCAATTGGTATCTTTGATTTATGTTTTCTCCTTTATTTAGTGCCATCACGTCCTTCTTATCCGATTGGCCTTCCATTTCTTCACACACCCCACCGCAAGCCTCGGAGTACCTAGCTAGCCCTCCCCCTTCTATAAATACCGGCGCCGAAGAGCCAACCAAGATCACCGACTCCGCATAGCATTCCAATCCCAGTTCTATTGCTGTTTCCCTTTTCTTGAGCAAAGACAAAGGAGAAGTAGTCACCACCATGTCTGGCATCATCCACAAGATCGAGGAGACGCTCCACATGGGGGGCGACCACAAGAAAGAGGAGGAGCACAAGAAGGAGGAGCACAAGAAGGCCGAGGAGCACCACAAGAAGGACGGGGAGCACAAGGAGGGCATCGTGGAGAAGATCAAGGATAAGATCACCGGCGAGCACGGCGAGAAGTCCGGCGAGCACAAGGACAAGGACCACAAGGAGAAGAAGGATAAGAAGAAGAAGAAGGAGAAGAAGCACGGCGAGGGCCACGACCATGACGGCCGCAGCAGCAGCAGCAGCGACAGCGACTGATGTCGCCTCGCCCGTGCGCCGTGCTTCCATTCGCATATATGCACGCAGGTAATTTGGGCTGGCCAAACTACAAGCGCATACCGGACAAAGATTATTGCTCTAGAATCTTCTGAATAAAGAGGTTCCTTTTGTTTTCTTTTATGTATTTATTGTGTTGATCTTTGCTGGATCTGAAGATGTTGATGTTGGCTTGAATGCAGGTGTAACAGATGCTTGCAGGATACATATACCAGATGCTGATGTAATGTTTCACGGGTGTCATGCATGTATGTGCTATATGATCAAGGGGGAAAATGATAAAAAAGAAATAACAGAGAGTCAGAGATAGCATGTATGGTTTGTTTGCCATGTGATGTACTCCTACTAAAATAATGGTTGCACGGTGCTAGCTTGTAATAAAATGTTAATGCAGAAATTGATCTGCCTGCTTGTGTCTTTGCCTGCATGTATGTGCTATATTTCTGTGCTATTGTTTACGCTAACGCGTCTCGCTCGGGAAGCTGGATTGAGGAGATCCACATCTTTATTTATGCCTTCTGGTTGTGCCATGTGACTCCACTTTCTAGATCTAGCTGCTGCACGTTGGATGTCCTGTTGGGGAGAAAATTTGGGCGATCAAAGAACGGCAAAGTCAACATGAACATGCACCAGTATCACTGTTTGTCTCTTTGCCACTGTTTTGGGCGAAGACTATGAAAAACTTTGGCCCGCACCAGAAATTTTAGATGAAGATCAGACAAGTTTTGGTGTAAATAGGTTTTCGAGAAAAAAAAACTTTTAGTGTAATCAAATTTGTGTGGCGCCCCGCGTGCGCAATAGATGTACTCCCTCCGTCCAGAAAAGAATGTAATTATGGGATCCACGTCGGTCAAAGTAGCTCAAGTTTGACCAAGTTTATAGCAAATAATATTAATATTTATGTCTCCATATAAATTTATTACGAAAATATATTCTATGAATAATCAAATGATACTAATTTTGCATCAGGAATATTAGTATTTTTTATATAATTTTGGTCAAAGTTAAAATTGATTGACTTCTCGGGAAGCGAGAATTGCATTCTTTTGTGGACGGAGGGAGTGTATAAGCTTTGAAATAATTTGGGCACGTAAAATGAATTAGAGACTGATAAAGTGGAGCATCAGTAAATTTTAACTGCAAACCAAACAATATAACCAAATTTGGTAGAAGTTGTGAAAACTTGATAAGGCAAACTTTTTGCTCTCACTAGAAGTTGCAAAAATTCTGAGAAATCAAACATGCTCCTATATAGTTCATGATGAGCCAAAAGCTACCTCGCTCGGTAGGACGTCTCACTCAGATTCCGATTGCATTTTAGGCACAGAGGAAAAATACTTTTTTTAGGAGAACAGAGGAAAAATACTTTTTTTTAGCAAAGTGTCACCCTTCTTTATTCCTCAAGATAATTGGTACAAACTCCGTCATGAGGAGCAACAAACCAAATATATCTTTGATAGGGGCATTTGAGGAGAACAGAGGAAAAATACTTTTTTTTAGGAGAACAGAGGAAAAATACTTAACCTCTGCTTGTTTTAGGCTAAGACAAATTCATTGAAGAAACAGTCGGCCCATCGTTGGGCTTTTATGTTTCACCGTTACATCTGATAGGGGCATTTGGCCCATAATCATCTGAAAAAACAGTCGGCCCATCACGATTTGCCATAACTTAAAAGATTGGACGACGTATCACACGTTTCCAGCTTAAAACGCTATGCATTGTGAGAAAAGCAATATTGGACTACATACTCTTAAGTTATTAACCTATGGAGCATACGTTCAATCAATGATGAAATAAGAGACGAGAAAAAAGAATCGAACTTCGGCTATGCCGACTTGCCGAGGATGGTAAACATATAACGCAGCAATAGTTACTCTATCCATACTTATGGTGATACTTGAATGCATCTTTGGCTAACAGTTCTATGTTGACGAGTAATGATAAACGTATACTTCTGTGAAAGAATTCCAGTTGCCCAGGCACGTCCTCGAAAAAAGAGAGAATTTCAGAAGGCAAATCTAGTACTAGTAATATGATTTCCGTATGATAAATCTTGGGAGACTAAAGACGATATCTATGGCCAAACTTTGGAAGTTTGAGAGCATGCAGCATGCTGAATTATAGGATGAGCAGAAAACGAACAGAGGTATATATATGTCTCTTGCCATGGGTGTCATTTCCCCTGAACAATGCAGTGCTCTCACGTGCCGTGGTACCTCATTTGTTTAGTGGACAAAGTCCTCTTGCTGAATCGAGCGTGACATTTGGAGCGCGTGTGCATTCCAGGACTGCAAAATCTGCGCAGCAGCTAGCTAGCTGAAGCCGGTCAGCACAACCACGCTCTCGCCCAGTTTCTACCTCCAAATGTAAGGCAACCAGCCATGCGTTGGCATCAGCATCCTTGCACCTGAACGTCTGAACTGAACTGAGATCCTCGCCAATGATTGATGCATCTCAGCATCTGCGCTACAGCTACCAGCAAGGAACAAGCAGCGCATGATCGATTGTTCTTGGGCGTTACGCCGTCTCGTGGCTGAATGATTTGCTTGGACATGACATGACTGTCTCGACGCTTGAGGGTGGACCGGTGCACTGTCATTTTCAGAGAAAAAAAAACAGAGGAGCTCGCGTTCGGTAATGTACGGAGGCTTCAGCACTCCAGGCCCTGAATGGTGAAGTCGCTCCATTTGTCAGAATTGGTTAGCCTTCGATCTAGTGATGATGAATACAGCTCTCAAGATGTAGCTTAAACTGACCTTGGCTTATATATACAATGATTAGGAGCCATAGAACAACGACGCAGATAAAAAAAATGTATTTGAAGTACAATTTTCTTCGGCCTTAGCTGTAGGGCTTAGGCAAGGTAAGTATTCCTTCCTGTACGGCAGGGCCAAGCTGCAACTGATCAGGAGCAAGGTGTAACACCAATGGCTAACAGCTGAGCTGCTGAAAGCCATAGCAATGCCAGCAGTCAACAAGTACAAAATATATAAGGTCAGCGACTGAGAAATGGCAAGCCAGCGACTCAAAATGGCAAGCCAGCGACTGAGAAAGATGCATGGAAAAGAAATGGTACCACTGACCGACTCGATATACAAGTCAATCTGTATGAACGCCAGGAAGCTTGATTATCTCAGTTTGCAGCGTGCGCTGGTGATCCGTGATTCCGTTCTTTATTCAACTGTGGGCTTAATTCCCTATTGTTGACGTCACACTGGAGCCATTAGCAATACCTTAGTGGTGTTTGTTCAGTCATTCAGATTGATATCCTAATTCTCATAGACCTATGCGTCTCTTCAGTCATTCAGGATTAGTACATTAAGATTAGGTGTTTGTCACTATTCATTCTTTAGAGATCAAAAGTTGTTGTTTCTTGATATGGTCATTAACTTGTTGAGACATAAATAAGTAGGCAGGCAAATTGCTGCTCTATGAATTTTTACCCCATTCAGAACGAAACAATGACGGGTAAACAGGTAAATATATGAATTTTAAGAATTTTTGCAGAAAATTTCTAGCGCCATTTATGTTCTGATTGGAGTACTAAATGTTGAAAGACTTCTTAAATGTTGAAAGACTTCTTTTTCGGAAAAAACGACTTTACGTGTATTTCATTAAGAAGAGAGTGATGAATTACACGACGCAGCTATGGGAGAATCCATAGCGCAGCTTACAGAAGCACAGAGGTAGTGGTTAAAAGCGTAGAACACAAGAGAAAGGAAAAGGCGCGGCAAGGAGAGGGCCCTCCGCCACAACCTAACTGAGGGGACCTGAAAGGAAAATAACAACAACGCAGGGGCTGCCAACAGAAGAGATGAAGCCGCGTGGCAAAGCATCCACCGAATAGAGATGATTATGGTGGCAAAGTATCTGCCCAAACAAGATCAACAAGCAGCATGGCGGCAAAGCATCTGCCAGAGACCACGTGACAAAGTATCGAGCGACATCGGCGGCAAAGTATTCGTCCAGGCAGCAACGACGGCAAAGCATCCGCCGAGAAGAGCGCAAGCGGCCAAGTAACCGCTACGAAGAACCAGACGACAGCGGCAACACCAAACATCCAAGCTAGACAGACCAAAGCGAAGAAAGAGCTGAAGCACACACAGACACAACACAGCTTGGAGCAACTCCGGCGAGAGAGGCGGGATGGCGGCAGAAGTGCTCCAACGAAGCCTCCAAGAAAGGGATGACATCTACAGACGCGAACAACATTGAACCATAAATCTTGTACTCCTAGCTAGTGTGATTTCTCGTATGATAAATCTTGGGAGACTAAAGACGATATCTATGGCCAAACTTTGGAAGTTTGAGAGCATGCTGAATTATAGGATGAATAGAAGACGAACAGAGGTATATATATGTCTCTTGCCATGGGTGGCATTTCCCATGAGCAATTCAGTGCTCTCACGTGCCGTGGCCCCTCATTTGTTTAGTGGACAAAGTCCCTCTTGTTGAATCGAGTGTGACATTTGGAGCGCGTGTGCATTTCAGTTTCAGGACTCCAAAACCTGCGCAGGAGCTAGCTAGTTGAAGCCTGAAGGTAGTAGGATCAGAGCCCGGTCAGCATAACCACGCTCTCGCGGTCTCGCCCAGTTTCTACCTCCAAATGTAAGGCAGCTACATGCGTTGGCATCAGCATCCTTGCAACTGAACGTCTGAACTGAACTGAGATCCTCGCCAATGAGGTAATGATTGGTGCATCTGCACTACAGCTACCAGCAAGGAACAAGCAGCGCGTGATCGATTGTGCTTGGGCGTGGCGTAACTGTCTCGTGGCTGAATGATTTGCTTGTACATGACATGACTGTCTCGACGCTTGAGGCTGGACCGGTGGGTGTCATTTTCAGAAAAGAACAGAGTAGCTCGCGTTCAGTAATGTACGGAAGCTTCAGCACTCCAGGCCTTGAACGAAGTCGCTCCATTTGTCAGATTTGGTTAGTCTTCGATCTAGTGATGATGAATACAGCTCTCAAGATGTAGC